AGGCAAGGCCTAGGGGTTCAGGGCTAGAGGCTGCGCTCAGGCTAGTAAGTGCAGACCAAGACAGCCCTGCCTTCCACAACTGGAAGCCAGGGACAGATATCATCCACTGAGAGCAGCCTGTGGTTTGGTAGCTCTGAGCCTGAGGTCCGTGCATGAATGAAATTGTGGAGCCAACTATCCACCCTTCAGTGCTGTAGTACTTGAGAATTCGAACTTCTGAGGGTGTGCTTGAACCCAATTCAACATTCCTCCAGCGGGGTGACTTAATGACACAGGTCGTCTTCTGATTATACTGACCTCAGTGTCATTATTGCTTTTTACCTCACTTAGGAGACAGCCCTTTCTTACAGTGAAAAAGCTAGCTGGCCCAGAGATGTGATCTGGGAAGTCTCTAGGAAGTGGTGGAGTCTGTGCAGTCCACAGAATGCAGAGTACGTCCAATAGAGGCCCCTGGTGAAAAGAGCACTGGTGGGCATCAGATTTGTGTCCAAACGGACTCCACCTCAGAAAAAGCATAGTAAAGTTCGGTCCACAAGCTCCTCTAACCTCTCCATCCATTCATACAGCTGCCTTCTTATCCGTTCATATAACGAACTGTCTCCAACTCTGCAGGACCCGGCAAGAGCTGCTCCAACACCTCAGCCTTTGTTTTTCCTTTTTCTTCCCATGTGTTTACTTTCCTCCTATATATTTAGCTTGTTTTTAATGTCATTGCATTAATTTTTTGTGTGTTTTCATTTGTTACTTTCCTTTATATATTTATCTAATTCTATTTACACATATTCTTTCCATTTGGGAGCAATATTTTCTCCTTTCTTTTTGTTTTTTTTTTCTCTCTCCCTACCCCCAGCCCTTGTGTTTCCTCTTTTCCTCCTCTGTCTACATTTAGTAGCATTTTTTACTTTACCTAGTTTTTTTTAAAAAAAGAAACATCTTGTTTTAATATTTTAAATTACCTTTCTTATATTTATCTAAATTTGCTTTTTAATTTTTTCATTATTGGGAAACAAATTTACTTTTATTCTTTTTGCTCCTTTTTAATTGTTTTCTAATTTTTGCTTTCTCCTCCACAACATTCTTTTCTAAATTTCTTTGATTGTTTTTATTGAGAAATATATTTTTCTCTGCTCCTCTCCCTTTTTCTCCTCTCTCCTTCAACTCTCTTCCATGGTCCCCATGCTCCCACTTTACTCAGGAGATCTTGTCTTTTCCTACTTCCCATGTATATTAGATCCATGCATGTCTCTCTTAGGGTCCTCATTGTTGTCTAGGTTCTCTGGAATTGTGATTTGTGGGCTGGTTTTCTTTGTTTTATGTCTAAAAGCCACTTAAGAGTGAGTATATATAATATTTGTCTTTCTGGGTCTGGCTTACCTCACTCAATATGATATTTTCTAGATCCATCCATTTGCCTTCAAATTTAAGGTCTCATTATTTTTTTCTGCTGTGTAGTACTCCATTTTGTAAAAGGAACCACATTTTTCTTATTCATTCTTTGGTCAAGGGGCATTTAGGTTGTTTCCTGGTTCTGGCTATGACACACAATGCTGCTATGAAAATAGTTGAGCACATGTCCTTGGGGTATGATTGAGCATCCTTTGTGTATATACCCAAAAGTGGTATTACTGGGTCTTGAGGTAAGTTGTTTCCTAATTTTTAGAGAAATCGCCATACTAATATTGAAAGTGACTGTACCAGTTTGCACTCCCACCAGCAATGGGGGAGCGTCCTCTTTACCCCATCAAAAGTTGTCATCAGTGTTTTTGATCTTGGCCATTCTTACAGGTGTAAGACGGAATCTGAGTTGTTTTGATTTGCATTTCTCTGATGGCGAACGATGCTGAGCATTTCCTTAAGTGTCTTTCAGTCATTTTAGATTCCTCTGTTGAGAATTCTCTGTTTAGGTCTGTACCCCATTTTTCATTGGATTATTTGTTTTTTGATGACCAGTTTCTTGAGTTAATGCCTATTTTGGAGATTAGCCCTCTGTCTGATGTGGAGTTGGTGAAGATCTTTTCCCATTCTGTAGGCTGCCATCTTGTCTTGTTGACCATGTCCTTTGCTTTGCAGAAGCTTTTCAATTTCAGGAGGTCCCATTTATTAATTGTTTCTCTCAGTGTCTATGCTATTGAGGTTATATTTAGGAAGTGGTCTCCTGTGCCAGTGTGTTCAAGTGTACTTCCCACTTTCTCGTCTATAAGGTTCAATGTGGCTGGCTTTATGTTGAGGTCTTTGATCCTTTTGGACCCGAGTTTTGTGCATGTGATAGATAAGTATCTATTTTCATTCTTCTACATGTTGATGTCCAGTTAAGCCAGCATCATTTATTGAATATGCTTTCTTTTTTATCCATTTTATATTTTTTCTTCTTTGTCAAAAATCAGGTGTTTGTAGGTGTGTGAATTGATATCAGGGTCTTCAATTCAATTCAATTCATTGATCCTCCTGTCTGTTTTTCTGTCAGTATCAGGTTGTTTTCAGTACTGTAGCTCTGGAGTAGAGTTTGAAGTCAGGGATTATGATGCCTCCAGAAGTTCCTTATTGTACATAATTGTTTGGGCTATCCTGGGTTTCTTGTTTTTCCATCTGAAGTCTCCACAACATTCTTTTCTACTTCCCTTCTTTCTCCATTTGTTTAACCTCTTCTTGCCTGTAGCTCTCCCTTCCTTTGTCTCTTTCCTTTAGCTCAGTCAGTTACTCTTTCCATGCTTGCCTGATGTAATTCCTCACTTTATAGCATATTCTCCAGTAGTTTTGCCATTTCACCTTTTTAGCCATTGGAAATATGTTGGTTGTTGTGATTGAGCTTGTGTATTACTGGCTCTTATGTGGTTGGATGTTGTCACTCTTACAAGAGCTTGTTTCTTTCTTGCCTTCTGGAGCCGCAGATTGAAACTTCAAGAATAGACTGCTCAGAACTACTAGACTGCTAGGAAGACCCTCCATCCCTCCCCCAAAATGAGAGAAAACTGTCTTAGCTGGGATTCTTATTGCTGTGATGAAGCACCATAACCAAAAGCACGTTGGAGAAGAAGGGATTTATTTGGCTTCCACATCACTGTTCATCACTGAAGCAAGTCTGGTCAGGAATTCTAACAGGGCAGATAGGAGCTTAGAGGCAGGAGCTGATGAAGAGGTCATATCAAAGTGCTGTTTATTGTACCTATGGCTTGCTTGCTCAGCCTACTTTCTTATAGAATCCAGCACTACTACCCAGGGTATCTCCTAACTACACTAGGCTGACCCTTTCCACATCATTTGCCAAGTAAAAAATTGTCCTACACTCTTGCCTACAATCTAATCTTATGGAGGCATTTTCTCAACTGAGGCTATCTCTTATGCAATGACTCTAGCTTGTGTCAAGTTGACATAAAACTAGCTAGCACAAAGACATTTACACCCAGATGTGCAAATCACAACACAGAAATGCAGAAGGCATAAAAACTTAAGGCAACAATTTTTTAAAATCATAATTTATAAACTACTGAACTCAAAGATAATAGGTAAGATGCCAGATGAAGACTCCAAAGCTTTTCTGCTAAAAATGATCAATTACTTAAAAGAAAACATAAATGAACAGATGGATTCAATCTAAAATCCAGCAGGGAAAACCAGCAGCATTGAGAACAATATCAATACAATTGATGACAATACAGCAATATAAATGAAAAGGTCATCAAGGAAATTGAGATTTTTTAAGAAAAAAATCATACTCGATAAGTAGAAATGCTAGAAATTAATTAACATTTAACAATTAAATAACTTAATAAAATCCAGTGAAGAACATGAAAATCAACCAAGTGATAATGCAGAAGAAAGAATATCATAGGGTTAGAGAAGAACAAGGTTGACAAAACACCTACATTAAGACAGCAACGAGGACAAAGAAGTGAAAATGGCAACAGCACCCAAGAACTCTTATAGATTATCAAGAGACCAAACCTAAGGAATCCACAGGATGGAAGAGAGACTGAGATTAGACAGTGAATTTATTAAATGAAATTACAGAAGAAAAATATCTATCCTAAAAGGCTAGATATCTAAAACATGAGTCACTTAAAGCTTCAAGTACTCACAGACAAGTTTTATATAGATTTCAAAAGCATAAAACAAAGTAACAATAGTAAAGGCTGAAAGGAAAAATACCAACATATCTACAAAGGCAGAAATATCAGTAAAACATCAGATCCCTTATCAGTAAAGAAGAACAACACTAACAAAAAAAAAAAACATGAAATTTCAAGTGAATGTAACTGCCAACCAAGATTGCAAAGTCATTTAAGATTGCTGATAAAATAAGAAATGTCAAGGCAAGCACAAACTAAGATAGGTCATGACCACCAAGATAGCATTGCAAAAGGCAATCAGAGAAATAATATACACATGCAATGGAGTAAGTGTCTCAACCATGAAACCACAGGAGATAAACATGAGTAGGTGAATGAAGAAAGCAAGAGTAAATCTTCATGTCCAATGCAGTAAATCTTCAAACCCCTGATATGATTTGGAATGAAATTGATATGAATGGGGGAGAAAGAAAAGAATAAGCATTTGTTCAATAGGAAAAAAAAGTGATGAAGTTATGGGGATGAGTAAATATCTCTCAATAATAGCATTAAATATAAATGACTTCTATACACCAATAAAAAGATAGAGACTGGCTGACTGGATTAAAAAGCTAGATCTAATTGATTATTTTTTTCTAAAGAACATACTCCACTGGTAAAGAATGTAAAATCATTTATCAAGTGAACAGAAACACAAAACAAGCTGGTATAGATAATCTGATATCTGATAAATAAGACTCAAACCAAAATTAGTCAGACAAGCTAAAGAAAACCACTCTATACTACATGTAACAATTCAGTGAATAAAGAGATACAACAATTGTAAAGATATGTGCAAATAATAAAACTTCAAATCTCATAAAAACAATCATTAATGGATATAAAAATTTGGTTATATCCTGCTATAAGAATAATAGTTGATTTCAGTACTTCTCTCTCATTTTTAAGTAGATTATGAAAAAAGTTTGAATGATACAGAGATTAGTATGGTACCTGTGCAAGGATGGTATACAAATTTGTAAAACATTCATATTTTAAAAAATCAGAAAGATCTTAGATAAATAATATATTTTCAAGATCTTATAAGAAACAAGATCATCAGGTTGAAGAGACGGCTCAGAGGTTAAGAGAATGAGTTGCTCTTCCAGAGGTCCTGAATTCAATTCCCAGCAACCACATGGTGGTTCACAACCATCTATAATGGGATTTGGTGCCCTCTTCTGGCCTGAAGGCAAACATACAGACAGAACACTGCATACATAATAAATAAATAAACTTCAAAAACAAACAAAAACAAAACAAAAACAAGACCATTTCAAACCCCAAAGCAGTAGACCGCAGAAATTGATAATTAAAGCAGAAATAAATGGAGCAGAGACTAAAAGAATAATAAATAGACTTCACCAAAGAGCAATTTCTTTGAAGAGATAAACAATTGTCAATCCCCTACTAAGGCCAAAAGAAAGAGAACAAGGACAAAAATTAATAAAATTAGAAATGAAAACACGAATGCTACTATAGATTCCAGTGAAAAATAGAGAATCATTAGAGGCTGCTTTGAAAAATTACATTTCACACAACTGAAAAGTTTAGATGAAATTGTTAAAATGTTCTGTCTTGGCCACTTTTATGTCAACTTTGACACACTAGAGTTATCTAGGAAGGAGAACATCAACTGAGAAAATGTCTCCATTGTATTGCATGTAGGCAAGTCTGTAGATCATTTTCTTGATTAATAATGAATGTAGAAGGGCCCATCCCACTGGGAGTGGTGCCATCCCTGGTTAGGTGGTTCTGAATTGTATAAGAAAATCTGTCAAAGCCATGAGGATCAAGACAGTAAGCAGCATTTTGCCAGTTGAGGTGTGTTTCTTGTTTGCAGCAAATAGTTGGGTCTTGTGTTTTGGTGTGTGCGTGCATGTGTGTACTATGTCTTTTATTTGCTATATTTGACCCATAATTTGCATTCAATATTATTAGTGACAAATAAGATTCCTCCTTTCTTTTTAATTGTATTCTGCTTGTTTGGGATATTTTTCTCTCCTTTCACCTCTTTTACTGTTTCTATTATTTAGTGGTTTTCTGTTGTGCTGAGGTTTGACTCTTTCTCTTTTGTATATTTGTTCTTCTACTGAGTTTTGTGCAATTCATGTCCTTCAATAACAGCTATCCTTTCATTTATAAGACTTCCTTAAGTATTTCTTCTGATAAAATATTTTGTTATTATTGTATGTCTGCATGATATGTATATGGAGGCATGCATGCATCATAGTACAGACATGAAGTTCAGAGGTCAACTTTCAGAATTTGACTTTCTCCTTCTGGTGTAAGTTCTTTGAAAGAAACTCATGCCATTAGGTTTGCGCAGCATCTCAACATGCCTGCTTCCTTAAATGTCTATCTATTATAAAGCTGAATTGGTGGCAGTCCCCTTAGTTTATCTTTATCTGAAAAAGACAATTTCACTTTCAGTTTTTAAAAATAATTTTGTTGGACATAGTATGCTTGTTTTTTTTTTTATTTGTGGGGAGAAACACATGCTAGGGTGCACATACATGGAAGACAAAATGGGGTATTAGATCTCTTGAAGCTGATATTACAAGCATTTTAAGGACTCCAGATTGCTACATGGTACTGGGATCTAAATTGTGGTTCTCAAGATGTATGTGTGAACACCCTTAACCAATGAGCAATGTCTCCAACCTCTATATAGTAAGTTTTTTTTTCCAGCAAGATCTACTGTGTGCCTAATTAGTCTTCTCCTAAGAGTGACTTGGCATGTCTTCTTGCTGTTTTTAGGGGCTTCTGCTAAAACTTTAGACATTTTGACTAAAATATGCTTCACTGAAGATTTGTTTGGGTCTAACTGAAGACTTTTGAGATGTTTAAATCTATCCACCCATGTTTCTGAAGATTTCTGAAGTTTATGAAACACTTTTTAAATTTTCATTACCTATTGCAATTTTCATAGTATAAACAATTTTTTGCTGAATTATATTCCGAAGTTTTTATAAACTTTATTCTTGTTTTATTTTCTAGTCATTTTGTCTTAATGAATCTGTTGAACTACTTGTATTTTTTAAGTAGAAAAAATATAATAGAGAACTTCCTTAACAACCAAGATTCAGAAATTTGTTCTTCTGCTTTTACTAGTTTTTTTTTATGGAAATGTTCTATTTTTTATTTTAAAGGTTCTATTATTATTAATTTGTGTGTACTTGAGTTTTGCCTGCCTGTGCATGTGTGCTATGTGCATGCAGTGCCTACAGAGACCAGAAGAGGGCATTAAATTCTTCTTGACCTAGAGTTACAGATGATTTATGAGCCCCCATGTGGATGCTGGAAATTGAACTTGGACCATCTGGAAGAATACTCTTAAATAGTAAACCATCTCTCCAGTTCATTATTATGCTTTCCATTTAATTGATTGAAATATTTTAGTTCCAAGACATAACATTGGATCTTTTTGTGTATGTGTGGTTTTTATTTATTTGGTGAGTTTTTCCATTATTTTTATTTCATATTTTAATTTTTCTATGTTCTCTTACATCTCATTGAATTTCCTTAGAACCATTAATTTTGAATTATTTTTCAGGCATTTCATAGGCTGCTTTCAACTTTATATCTATTTTTTGAAGAAAAAAATAGATTAGGGCATGCCTTTAAGCTTCACAGGGTTGATCCCTGATGCCACTGGTTCTTTTGGCGATATCTAATACATCTTGATGGTGTGGGGTGCGGAAAGGGCTGTCCTCAGGGCCCTTAGGGCAAGCACAGTTGGTGTTCAGGGTTTTGGCACCAGCAGCCACAGTTCTGGCAGCACAGGATAGGAAGAAGATCTTGTCCAGGACTCTCAGGATAAATGTGGAAGATGTTTGGGTATTTAGCATCATCAGACAGTTCTTATATCACGGATAGAATAAGAGCCTTTTTCAGATCCTGCCAGGCAGGCACTTTTGGTTCTGCAGTCTACAGCACTAGAAATACTGGATTTACGGTGTTCGGACGCAAAGGATATCTCCTTCAATTCCACGGGAAGACTGACATTGGTTCCAGGACTTGTGGAGCTCTTAGCATCTTCCATGGAGCTAGGAAATCCAGATGATTCCTTCTCCTGGTTTCAGGAAACAAATAAAAGAGGTTCTAGGGTGTTGGACACCAACAGTTGTGGTCTGAAATCCATCAGTTTCTGAAATATTCCCTAGGCTATTCATAGCATGTACAGTACAGGTAGGAAGCATTTTGGATAACAGAAGTAGCATCCATACTTCTTGTGACATAGGATGTGGTGAAGACCTTCACTAAGTCTACGGACTGAGTGCCAAGAGTTCTGAAGCTTTTGGTTTTAGCATATGAGATCTTGCACCTGTGGAGCATGGGTAGGAGTGTTCCATAAGTCAGGGTTGGGGAAGATCTGGCAATGATGAGTCTTGTGACATTGATAGTCACAATTCAGGGCATGAATGATAATAATGGGCTCTTTCCCTAAGCTCCATGGAGAAGATTGAGCTCTGTCCAGGCTTTTGTACCAGCAGGCACAGTCCGAAGGCCATCAGTCAGGAAGTAGACCTTCCCTGTGCCTCACCAGTTAAATGTAGGTGTTGATCGAAGTGGAAGCCATGGAGAAATCTCGCAAAGGTGATTACAGGTTCAACGACTTGGACTGGGAAGGAAACATTTCCTAGATACTTCCAAGTGAATGCAGATGTTGGTGAGGCTTAGAGCCAAACTACATCCAAGTTCCTGAATCTGTGAAGCTAGCCAGAAGCTTTTCTAGCTCTGGAAGCACAGATCAGTGTAATTAACATCTAATAACAAGCAGCTCCAGTCCCAAAGCAGTGAGCATTGCCTTGGAGGTCCAGAGAGGACTTCCGTGAGTTAGTAACAGTCAAAATGCTGAAAAGATGTATTGAATGTCTATGTTTATGTTTCTGGGGATATGGGCTTGACAATACTGGGGGTATCGCTTTCTGGAAGCTTAGATTACTGGTAGAGGAATCTGAGGCTAAGAAGGCAGACACTGAGCATTCTATGAAAAGTTCCAAGAGCTGACGTGAGGAATTCATATTGAACTCATTAGATAATGGAAATTTATTTTTTTGTTAGACCTTTGGACATAATGGCATTTTCATGTGTTTGTTTATAAAACATCTGAGAGATTATTGTCTTTTCTTGATATAGACCATTGGTAATTCAGTAAGAACTTACTGTACAAGATGCATGTTGGATCAATAGTTTGTGATATAAAATTGAGGCAGACCTTTATGGATGATAATATGGAATCATCTGTAGCCACAATATTGTGCTTTTGAGCACTGGAATGTTTGTGATTTTTCTTTATTTTAGTTAGACTAAAAGCTGCAGCAAACAAACCTATTAATATGTTTCTTTTTACTTAGATGGAAAAATATTCCTTATAATTTATCCAAGTTCAATGAATTAGCAGATTCTATAAGGCACAAAAAATTCAAAGACAAAATTTTATACAATGTCTGCATAGTCTTAATGAATTTCTGAATGATGATACTACAAACATGGTGTCTCCCAAAAGCATGTTATCTATTTCTAGAATGAGATGATGGATCCTAAGGGTGTGGCTGTTTATTTTTTCTAAGCGAAAAGATTGGATTATTGAAGTTAATTTTTTATCAAGTTACAAAAGTAAATTCTCATTTAAAGAGTTTTTAAAGGCAAATCCATTAGTGTTACCAAATATAGAATTGTATGTATTGCTTTGATGTCTTAACAGTTAGCATTCTGAATTTGCTTCTGAACTTCTGTTAATGGACAAAATATTCCAAGTGCTGGACTGGAGATCTATGTTAACTTCCTTCTGAGTAGACATGAAATCCAGCAAGATTGCAAATTTGACCAACCATACCAGTAGAAGTGACGAAAAGTTCCCATGGTTTCAAAGAATCAATAGTGCCCTCTAAAGGAAATTCATGTGATGTGCATTAAATATCCAGGTTTAAGTCAGCCCCAGTGCTGCGTAGTTTCAATATATGACATGTATTTAAAATTATGGAAGGAAGTCA